TCCTCATGTGATCAGTTAGCTTATAGATCAACTGTCACCTTCTCTTTACCTTCTGACTTAGAAATGGATATGTTAGAATCTTCAGTCTGATATAGAATAATGACTTTATTCTCTTCAGGATTTGCAACAGGTTGTTAAGAAAATGACAATTAATTTCTAGGGTGACTTTTTTGTTAAACTCCTTGGAGGACTCTGGAAATTGTCAATATTACATTACTTCAGGAGAAAATTTAAAAAGCTCCCATCTTCCCGTCTAATGCAAGTTGTTATCAGTCATGATTATGCTGGTTTATTCTTAATTTGAGGCAAGTTTATCCAATTTAAATCAATTATTGAGCATATCTCTATTTGCGTTTGCGAAATCCTTTTAAAGAAATGGTTTCTTACTTCTTAGTGTAACTTATGTACACTCTTGAATAGTGCATATGCTATAAAAGCATTGGCTAGTTGATTCTGTTTTTCTTGAGCTACTGGGATTATTTGAAAGGAACATGACACATGTTAACATACCGCTTCACAATCTGTGCATGTACAGTTCTCCAATCTACTATGCAAAAGGGTATGGGGGTTGTAGTTGGAAACAATTCAAATGGATAATTCTATTTGAACGAGCTGGTAAAGTCTATTTGTAATAATAACTTTACTATCATCAGAATTTGCAGCAGATTGTTAAAATTTATTTTTGAAACTATAGTTTAAGCATTTATGCTCTGGTTTAAGTTTTAATTTGTTCTAGCTGAATGTTATCTAACCTTAATGGATAATGCTATGCCTTCAATGAGGTCCATATATCTTATTTAGAGAATGAGTTCAAAGAGGGAGGGGGGTCAAAGAGGGGGGGCCAAAATTACTTAGCTTGGCAAGGAAACATTGTCAAAAACTGAAGTTTCTCTCAAACTCCTCAGCTTGCCATTGATAATTAAGTTTTAATTCTTCCGCTTGAATCACATGATGGTGATAATGAGGATAGCAAGGATGAGCATGCTGATAGGGGATATCAAAAACTTGTTAGAGTAAGAGTGGGGGAAAGTGAGGACAAGTTTGACAATGCAGGGCATGACAATGAAGATGAAGGCAAGAAAGGAAGTTGAGGTGGGCAAAGTCGGATGGTTGTTGTGTTTTTTGTGATCAGCAGAATTACTACATCTTGGTATAGGAAAAGTTTGCAAATGATGGAAGAAATGAATTTAGTATATGGTACAAGGAAAGTTTTATTTAAGAAACTTTGGTTTCTCATGCTTATAGAAACGTTATATGCGATAAGATTGTAATGATAGTTTAAAAAAAATTGAATATGTATTCATCATAAAAAAACTTGTACATACTATCATATTATATTTATTTATTTTGTTTCTTTTTGTTGCATGTTGTTTCTTTCTGTTGTTTCTTTTTGTTGTATGTTGTTGCTTTTTGTTGTATTTTGTTGCTATTTCTTGTATGCAGTTACCTTTTGTTGTGTGGGGTCACTATTCAATTTCATTTTATTTGAGCAACTGCAACACAATCTAATTAACAATGTATACATAATGTGATAAAAGTCTGATTTATAAATATTGAGAACAAGAAACAAGAAGAAACAATAATAAAAAAACATTTAAAGTTGGGAACCATTTTTCTTAGTTTAGCACTTCTTGGGGGATGGGATGGACTTAGGGCTGGCGATTCCAGGGCTTCCAGGCGGTGACGGCGGTGCGTCAACCAGCAGCAGGGCGGAAGGATTTCCTCTCTTTTTCGGATCTTTCTCAGCAAATGTCCCAGGAACAGAGGAAATCAGAGATCAAACTCAATCTGCAGATAAGACCAGATGGGATCTGCGACCACAGGGAAAATTCAACGAGAGTAACGGCAGAGTCTCGCGTTTGGCTTCGGCGGAAGTGGAGGCGACCGCAACCGGAAAAAATCTGGATCCCGTCCAACGATGCGGCTTAATCAGTGCTGATGACGGAACTTCAGCTCCGAGGGTTGCTTACCCTCTCACAGGGGCGGCTCCACATCGAAAGGGCTTGTGGCGACCTGCAACTCGCCAAAAGAAGAGATGTCTAGGCTTCAGGACACTTTACTCCGGCTGTGAGTCCTCAACACCTCGGTTGAATTGGAAGAATATGGCTGAAACTAGTAAGTTTAAGCACAAAAGGGCCAATATGCTCAGGGGAAACGCACGGCCAGGCAAAGATTACGGCTACAAACAGAAAAAGCACAATCAAGTAAGGTATCAGCTTACCCCTTATGGGTGTGAAATTTCCATTGAGAGTAAATGCTTTCGGTTTCATACAATTAATAGCAATGCACTGCGTATTTCTGAAATGAAACATGGGATCACTACTTTTATTGACCTTGATTTGGTGAAGGCTTCTTGGTTAAAGACCTCCATCCCCAAATTTTTTTCTGGTACATGGGCTTGCTCTAGATTAGAATTGAATTCCACGGTTATCCTTCATGATGCTAATTTTTTTGGAGGCTTTATTCGAATTATTGAGAAGGGTGACAATTCTCTATTTATACCTGAAGGAAGAAATGCAGTTGGAATTAATTGTTTTCTGTCTGGGATTTCAAGAGCAATTACTTTAATGATTGGAAGCACAAGTAAGAAGCCAATGCAGACGATTGGATGTGCCACATTATCGGGTAACACAAATCCATGTTTTGATTGGGATCCTCTGTCGCAAGGAAGGGATGAGGATAATTATCACTCTTCAATCTCAAAAGCATTTTTGGAGGTGGATATTATGCATTGCGGTTCTGCTAAGAATTCTTTAGAGATGATTGCTATTGAGGACGTTAATAATTCTGAACTAATTCCAGTTCCTGACCCTTCATTAGCAATTATAAAAGATTTTTTTGAGACTACTATGACTAACGGGGTTGACTCTCTCTCCCAATTTCTACTCAAAGAATTCAAAAGAATCCTTGCTGACTCTTTAGGAAATCAGGAGAGACCTGCTGAAGATGGGAAAATTACTAAGTGTGCATCAGAGAGCGAGAAGATAATTCTAGGGGATTTTTTTTACAGATAATTCTGAAGATTTTGTAAGTGAGGGGGTCTGTGGCGAGCAGCTCTACGGACACTCGGGGGATGATTTTCTGGGCCACGCATCGGAGAGCGAGAAAAGAACTCCTATTTCATCGATGGATGATCTTTGGGACTCTGACACGAATAATGATATTTGCAATAAAGCTTTGTTGGTCACGCCAGAAAACTGCTTGCCCACAGAGAATTTGAACACTCAAATTAAGATATACAGGAAAAAATATCAACGGTCCCATCATATGAAGACTAGATCGCAAACTCGGATGGACTACTGACTATGAGTGTTAGGGGCTTCTTGGGAGGGTCTTCTTTATTGTTATTTGGGTTGGGTTGTTTCACTTCTTTTTTTCTTTTTCTTTTTTCTTTTTTCTTCTCGTTTTTTCCTTCCTTGTAATTCCCTTGCTTCTTCCTTAATAAAGTTTTGGTTTTGCAAAAAAAAAAAAAAAAAAAAAAAAAAAAAAAAAAACATTTAAAGTTATAAACAAATAGAAACACAACGAAATCATATGCAACAAAAAAATTATTTGTATATTCTCCTGAAACGTTTAGTTCGCTATATGTTTCTATATAAAAACTTCATTCATACATGTGCAGATGTAATTGTGCTAAGTAATACAAAAATAAACAACAAGAAACACATAACAACAAAATACAACAAAACAATAACAATAAAATGACAATTGCAATTAAATTTTGTGAATCCGTAAAATTTAATAAAAACCATAATTTGTAATTTTCAGCCTTTTTTATGTTTCTACTATTTAAAATTTTCACAGTTGATAATCAGTTTTGTAATTCTCTCCCTACTTTTTTGGATTTATTATTTTATATTAATTTTAATACTTTTGAAATTTTTTACCAAGAAAATAATAATTTTAATTATTTTTAAAATAATTTTTAATTTTAATTCTTTTCTCCCTAGTTTTTTTTCGAAAATTCTACAATTTTTAAGATAATAATTTTTGAACTCTTTTTTAGTTTTTTTTATTATATTCTTAGACTTTTAAAAGTTTTATTATTGTTTTTGGTTTGCTTAATTTATTTAAATTTATTTGACATTTTATACTTTTCCCACTTATATTTTTTTCCTAAATTTTTTACTTTTTTAAAAAATCTTATTATTTTCAATAATTGTTTTTACTTACAATAATAAAGATTTCATATTATTTCTATTTTTAAATTATTAATTTCTAAATTTTTTTATTTTGTAGTTTACATGTTCAAAAATTGATTAAAGTATATATGCTTTTATTTTTTATATTTATCATATTTTAATATTCTTTTTTACTAATTTTATTTTTTTCATAATATCAAGATATTACAACTTTTCAATTTTGTATAACATTTCATTTTAAATAACATTATATCATATTTTACATTGAGAAGAACTTTTCTTATATATTAACATTTTTTAGTAATGCTTTTAATTGTTCGTTTGCAATTAGACTAAGGCCATGTTTGGCACACAAAAACCTCTGCCTTCTAGCTTCTCTTTTCTTTAAAAAGACCTTAAAAGACTCTAGTTGTATGGTTTGGCATGACATTTTTTAAGAGCTTTTCAAAAATTAAAAGATCTTTTTTGAGATGCTACCGGGTGTAGCATCTGAGAAAAGCTCGTGACTTTTAGTATTAATTAGTCCTAACAGCTTGTATACCAAACCGAACTAAATCAAACAGTCGGCTTTTTACCAAACAGCTATCACCTTTTCTTTTTAAGATCTTTTCAGTCACTAAAAGCTAACAGTTACTAAAAAGCTCACAAAAGTATCTTTTCAACTAGTTGTGCCAAACATACCCTAAGAAAATTAAAATGTGACCTGATGATGTTAGTTACGAACTACGAAGTGGAGTCCTGTGCTTTTAGAATTCCTTATTAAGATTTAATTTAAAATGCACTAGGAGACACGGAGTACCTGAGTATTAGTTCCGGAGCGGGAGTCTAGTATTGAAAAGAAAACATCAACTTGACTACTTTTGAAAAACACTTTCGGAGATGATAAAACTGATATTACTTTCAAATTTTAGCCATTTGTGAAAATTTCCCAAGCACTTAATTAAGTGACATCCATCAAAAAAGCCAAAATATATAGGCGGGCGTTGTACACCGAATACAAAAGCCAGCCGTTTGACATGACCAATCCATCCAGCCATAATTAATATATACGGCGGTTGCGGTTTACTTTACCCATCCATATTCTCATTATAAATTCCTCTAGCTTCTCCGCTTCTGGCCGGGAGGCATGTCTTCCAACAACCTGGAACCAAATTTCTTAACTAATAAAAAAAAAAAAAAAAAAGAGTCCATAAATTAAATCGAAATGTTTGCACTAAAATTAATATTTGCACACAAAATGTTTGAAAGTTCAAGTGCTTCAAACAAATGTTAACACATCCAAACTGGACCGACCCGGAACATGGTGGGTGACGTGCTTGGAATATCAGGCCGGTTAGGGTCCAACCTGATCGGAAAACCAGGCCAAAACACGGGACCAAACCCGGATCGGAAACCTGGTTATTTAAGTTTATAAAACATACGTTTATAATTATTATTATTAATTAATAGCACATCTACCCTGTGATTACATTTAATAACAATTGTGATTACACATCCATACCTTCCGGTTCATACGTTGAGAATAGCACATCTATTGATAATTATTAATTAATAATCAACATACTCCGTATTATTTCTATTATCTACTTTAGTACTAATAAAGTAGAGTCATTGAAATTGAAATTGATATTTGCCAAAATTGCAATTGAGTACAATCATTGAAATTGGCATTTTTCAGATTTTGCCCGTAATTATTTGCTATTTAAATTGAACCAAGGCAGAATTAGGTTGAATCAATGCAGATTACATACAGATTAGATAAGAATGGAATTCCCATATATCTAGGCAGATTTAACATAACGAAGTCCCTTTTTCAAGTAAATATAAATAAATGATAATTTCATTATCACGATACAAATTTTTTTTACAACTAATCGTACAACACATTTTTTACAATTATAAATAACAGATTACTGATCCGCATGGAATTAATGTACGTGCAAATACATTTTCAAGAAGTGATTAATCAATAAGTATGTATGTATATCTCTCTGTGTGTAAATAAAATATTATATACTTATAATATAGAAAGCATGAATGTATATCTCTCTGTGTGTAAATGGAATATAACAGTTCTTTAAATATTGATTATTAGTAAACTAACCCTAAACATTATAGATATTGTAACAAGATACGTGTCTTATGACAAGATGCGTTTTCTGATTAATTAAGATCATTTCAATGCACACTGAATTTTCCAAATACCCATCAACTTTATTTATTAAATGTCCACTTACTCTGTTTTCTAATTTAAATATTCTCCTGAATTGTATGAAATAAAAACATTCAAAATTATATAAATTCGTAGGAAATCCAATTTTAAAGTAAACAACTATATTTCTTATATAATTCAGGCCATATAAAAATATTTAGTTAATATACCTCAACAAACCAACCACTCTCTATCATCCTAAAATTCTGTCATAAATGAATCTTATCACATCTATAATTACCTATATTCTAAAAAGCCTCATGATTACTTTTCATCCTCATCTTAACAGAATTTCTAGGGTTACAAAAAAATATCATTAAAGTATGAGAGGAAATTGAAAAAAGTTCAAACGGTAAGACAGATAGTCAAACTACCTGTCAAACTACCTTGAATTGAATGCAAATATATAATAAGTTCTGAAACATCTATATTTGATTTGATAAATCAGTATGTATGCACTCAAATGATACATGTCACAAAAATGTGATTAATCAATAAGTATGTATGTGTGTATATCTGTGTGTGAATTGCATATACCAGTTTTTTCAAATATGTTATTATAACATCAATAGTAGTCAGGTTGATTAAAAACCTGGCAGCTTGAGAAGAATGAAAAGAAAAATTATTTCATTTAGTGATTAAACAATGAAATTAAATCACAGAAACAATATACACAAGACACTAACTATGTTTCGTTTTTAATGATATATACTGCAATACAGGTACATACGATTACATAAAGCATGTATCGATCAGTCGTCAAGGCTGGCAACTACAAGTTAGAACATAATATATTGGACTCCAAGAATAAATGTCTTGCAGATATTGAAAGAATATTACAGAGGAACGGAAAGAGTCTGGCAAATTTTGAAGGTATGCCAAAACCGGATGCAACATATGTAAGTTATGATGAAAATTCACTTATACATGAGGAGATGGAGTATGACAGAGAAGACGTGGAACGATAGCTACCACATCTCATTGACCAGTTAACCCATGAGCAAAAATGTATTTACAAGGACATCATTGATGCTGTGCGTGGAAACACTGGAGGTAAATGAAATATTTTATTTTCAAATAATATGTTAGTATGTAATTGTTACATTGGAAATAAATACATAAAGTTTTCTATATTTACAAAAAATTGTTCACATAGAGAATCATACTTCCTATTTTATGCAGGGTTTTTCTTTGTTTACGGATACGGCGGTATTGGAAAAACATTTCTATGGAATACCGTGGCAACATCTATTAGGAGCGAAGGAAAAATTGTTCTTACAGTTGCTTCAAGCGGAATAGCGTCGTTACTATTGCCTGGAGGTAGGACAGCACATTCCAGATTTTCTATCCCACTGAACACATCTGAAAACTCCATTTGTAATACTAATCAAGGAAGTCCCAAGGCAAAGCTCCTCCACTCTACATCCCTAATTATATGGGACGAAGCGCCAATGGTGCACAAACATTGTTTTGAGGCTTTAGACAGAACTTTAAAAGATATTATGAGCTTGAGCGATACAGATAATGAAAATCGACCATTTGGAGGGAAGGTTGTTGTTCTCGGAGGAGACTTCCGGCAAATTTTACCGGTCATTCCAAAGGAGGGAAGAGCCGATGTGGTGATGGCAACTATCAACTCTTCTTATCTTTGGAGCGATTGTGCACTTCGACGTCTCATGAAGAATATGAGATTACTTTGATACTTTCAACTGCTCATGATGAAAAGAGTGATATTGAGAGGTTTGGTTCTTGGATTTTAAAGGTTGGGGACAGTGATATTGGACAACAAGTAGATGGAGTTTCTGAAGCGGAGATCCCAGATGAGTTTCTTATCAAGGTGGAAGATAATTACCTAGCGGCTATCGTTAATAGCACTTATCCTAACCTGCTAGAACGATTCAGCGATCCAACTTACCTACAGGAAAGAGCGATACTTGCTCCTACTTTAGACGTGGTTCGCCAAATAAATGACTACATGCTATCTTTGATTCCTGGTGACCAAGCCACATACCTCAGCTCAGATAACATTATTAGTTCAGACATTGGTTTGTGTCGTGAGAGTGATATGTATACACCAGAATTTCTTAATAGTCTCTCGATCTCAGGGCTACCTGATCACGAATTGCATCTAAAGGTTGGTGCCCCGATTATGCTCTTAAGAAATATAGACCAACCGGCGGGATTATGTAATGGAACAAGTGCATTCTCACAAAGCTCGGAAAACATGTACTAGAGGCAAAGATCATCACTGGAAGAAATATGGGGGGCACTGTTCACATTCCCAGAGTGCCGTTATCACCTTCTGACATAACACTGCCTTTTAGTTTTCAGAGAAAGCAATTCCCGGTTATGGTATGTTTTGCAATGAGCATCAACAAGAGCCAAGGTCAATCTTTATCTCAGGTCGGACTATATCTAGAGAAAAATGTCTTCACTCACGGCCAATTATATGTTGCTATATCAAGAGTCAAGAGCAAAGAAGGATTGAAGATTTTGATTCCCTCTAAAGATGGCGGATTTTCCTCCAAGACCACAAACATTGTCTATAGAGAGGTTTTCCAAAATTTGGAAACATAGTCTTTATGTCATTCAGTTATTCTGATGTATTTTGAATCCCAACTTTTTTGTTATTATTATATATTATATAACATTATATTGAATTAATACATATTTTAATGATTTTGTCAATGAGAATTAACAAATACATATGAAAGATATATTTCACATTCACACAAATTAATAAAGTAAATATTTCATATGGGAGTTGCACCTAGGGATGGACCCGGGCCGGGCCGGTTCCGGTTCCGGGCCGGGCCCGGGCGGGCTTTTTTTCGGGTTACATGGGCCCGGAACCGGCCCGGGTTGATACCGGGTCCGGGCCTAACCGGGCCGGGCCGGGCCGGGCCCGGTTCAATGTTTTTTTTTTTTTTACTTTCTTGTTATCTCCCTACCCCCCCCCCTCACCCCCATGCCCCAAACCTCCCTAAAACACCCAGCCCTACCCTAGGAAAAGAAAAAAAATTGAAAAAAACCAAAAAAAAAAAAAAAATGAACCGGGCCCGGCCCGAACCGCCCGGGCCGGTTCAACAAAAACAGGGCCCGGAACCGGCCCGCCCGACCCGCCAACACGGGCTAAAAGCCCGGAACCGGCCAACCGGGCCCGGTCCGGTCCGGGCGCGCACAGTAGCGGGCCGGTCCGGTTCCGGGCCGGTTCGGCCCGGCCCAGTCCATCCCTAGTTGCACCCGGGGCAACGCCCGGGTACAAAGCTAGTTATAGTCTACACACACGTTGTACATGACTATTGATATTTTTAAGGTTTTGACCAAGTTTATTGGCAGTTGACCCGGTGAATGATCTGAGTTGCCGTCCGGTCCGGTTTTAATCACATATATAGCTTCCGAGTAAAGAAAGTTAACTTACATGGAAAGCACTGATCTTTTCCTCTTTTCAGTGCAAATATACGTGTCCAACTCTTGAATGCTCAAGTTTTTGAAACACGTGTCAATATCAAACTTTAGCAATTTACAATTATCCAAAGACGAGGAGGATGACGACCCAATAGAACTTTGAAGGTGTCCTTTAAGTTTGTTAATGAAAATAAAACCTGTACAGGAAAAGAAAAATGCATAAAGGATTCATTTATTGCCATTCAATTCGGCCAGCACAAAAGTTATGCACAAAAGGTAGATGATAGAGATAATTTTATGTGAATGAAAATGAATAAAATAGCAATTGCTATATATATCGGGATGATTCAAATAAAAATTGATCTTCCCGGGCGAAATTCGCACTTTTTCATGTTTCGCTTGCACATTTTCTTATTTTCGTTGCACTTTTTCGTGGTGGCAAAAAAAAAATGGGTTTTTTACAAAACTGCCACCATCATTTTGACCAAAATCGCAATTGCGAAAAAGTGCAACGAAAACAAGCAAAAGTGCCAGCGAAACATGCAAAAGTGCAAATTTTGCACTTTGCACGGGAAGACCACTTTTTATTTGAACTCTTCCATATATATACTGTGGAGTGCACTTTTTGGCACTGTTTGAACATTGTTTGGCACTGTTTGACATTGTTTGACACTGTTTGGAACTGTTTATATGTAGATAATTTGCCAAATAAGGAAAGGTTTGAAAGTGGAACTTAATTTTGGAACTGCCCGAAAAGGAAAAGTGGAACTTGTTTTTGAATCGGAGGGAGTATATATATGAATCTCAGTCATTGGATTCGACTAAGTTGCAGTAAAAGACACTTCATGATGCACTGAAATATACAATCTAGCACGGTGACATTTCTGTAAATACTTCTGAAAAATCCGTATTACACTTGTCTAGTGCAAGATGAAGCTATTTCGGTGCAACGCCGTCAAATATTAGGGCAACATGAAACAGTTTTAGTGCAACATTGCAAAATTTAAATATTACTGCACCATGAAACCATTTTTAGTGCAACTTCGTAAATATAATAGCTGAGATTCATTCTCATTTCTCACATTAGATGCATTTCTCACTTGAACCAATATATATACACACATACCGAGAGCGCGGAGAAACTTTAAATCAAACTTTTTGGCTAAAGCTTTGGAACCCATTTGTTTTGCTCGTCTGAGAAGCATCACTTTCAAACTCATTAGGAAATCCTACCAATTCATTCAATGAAAACCATATTACCAATTAATCAAATAAGCTAGCTTTCCAAACACAAGTCCGTACACTCCAAGTGAAGATCGATCGACTTACAAGTTCAGTCTCGTTTAGTGAGCAAAGCCATTTGATATCATCAACTCCATTCAACTTTTCACTATCCATTCCTCAGACTCACTCTTTTTTGCCCTTGAGAAATTTCACACAACACAATCAAGTTACACTTGGTCAAATTAAATGTTTAACCACCACTAATGGCTAGCTAGCTAGCATCATATACGACAAAATCACTATATTGAACATACAATTAAGCTAGCAATTGTTAGTTGTTGAGCAAAAATGTATGTGGGGCATGCAAGAATGAATAAATAAATACGGAGCATAAGTTAGCTTAAGAATGTCAATCAAGAATGCCGAAAGAGATATTCACAAATTAAATACATTCTCCTAGCCTTCACAGTCTAGTACATCCATGGGTTAAACACTACTACTATCTAAGCAAAAAAACATTCAACATATGATCAATATACTTTGGTTGCTAAAGTTCTACACGAAGAAGCTGGATGATACAAGAAACCAGGAGTGTTCGTTCATTGGGAAACTTTCAAATAGGTTTTGGACGGTGTGATGCTTTTGGGAAGAGAGAGCCGATTACCGATGGAATTCAGTCAGACAGTTATCGGTATGCGCAGCTTGGGTGACCAAATTTACCCTTCTCTTAATAAACTACTTAATGCCTCTAAAGGATATTTACACCTATTTTGCACACTCAAATAAACAAATATATTTGCACCAGAAAAAACAACCGTACTTAGTGACTTAGGAGGTTAAGTGTGTTTTCTTTTGAACTTTTTGAACTGAAATTTTGTTGGTCTGATCTAGCCTGCTTAAATTTTGTTTGGTCTGGTCTGAGCTGGTAAACATTCGATCTCTGTGTATTTTATAACTGTCCAAGAATGGTCTGATCTGATCTGTTTAAGTGTAGTCTGATGTGATCTGGTATGGTCTCACACTAAAAACACTCCAAAGAAAACATCCTAACATTTTAAAAGTTGGCAGTTCTCTCTTTCAATATCTTATGTTTTTTTTATCATCTTTATAACTACATTTTTGTTCCTTGTCCCCAAGGACACCCACACATTCCTCATGAATCCAACCCCTACGCGATCCTCACCAAGGTCCCTGTGGGAGAACCCTTGGATGAAGGTCGTTGGCCAGATGCTATCATCGATGGGTTTTGTACGAGGGGCCGAAGGCTTTGGATTGTACCTTACTATAGTTCTTGTCCGAAGAGATGCCAAGAGTGTGGCCAATGAAGTGCATAGGCTTGGTTGCTAGGTCAGTTGCTTGTGTTGCGGACGTTATGTGACCCACTGTTTGTGGTTGATTCGGCCGGCATTTGTGCGGCTGGTTTGATGGTCGAGCCCACTCTGAGTGTGAGGATGAAGTGTTGCATGCTTGATCGAATATGAGGACGAAGCGTTGCACGCTTGTCTGAATATGAGGACGACGGCGCTGAGGAGTCGGTCCTAATGCTGAAGGACTAGGCGTTGGGCACCTATCTGAATATGAGGATGATGACGATGATGACCCGGTCCAAAAATCCAAGCAACGGTCCTCATCCATACAGTGGGAGGATGAGGTCGTTCTTCTGAGAATGATGATCACGTTGAGACCGAGGGGCCTGTCGTGTCTTCATCATTAATATCACGTCGAGACTGAGGGGCCTTGTGTGTCTTCATCATTAAGATCCGAGCAATGGTCGCCATCTGGTAAAGGAATGGCTAAGACCAGTCCTAAGGATGAATATGGGGCGATGATGAGGCAGATCGTCGTATAAAGGCGACGGTTGCTATTTCGAAAGGGAATAGCAAGCCCGATCGCTATACCAAGACTTCGGCGTTGGGGAGTCGGTCTTGGGATAAGCATGACGATGTCAAGAGGCCGTTCATGATCTGATGACGAGGCGATGATGAAGCCTAGCGTCATATAAGGGCGATGGTTGTTATCCCGTAAGGGAATAGCAAGCCCAATCGATATACCAAGACTATGGTGTTGGGGAGCCAGTCTTGGGATAAGCATGACAGTATCAAGAGGTCGTTCATGATATGATGACGAGGCGATGATGAAGCCTATCATCATATAAGGGCGACCGTTGCTTATACGGGAAGGGAATAACGAGCCTAATTGCTATAACAAGACTTCGGTGTTGGAATCCGGTTTTGAGATAGACATGATGGCGTTAAGGAGGCCGTTCATGAGATGATGACGGGGCGATGATGAGCCGTTCACCATATGAAAGTGACGATCGCTATCCAGGAAAGGAATAGCAAGCCCGATCGCTAGCTCAAGACTTCAGTGCTGAGGAGACTGATCTTGAGATAGATCATCACGCCGAGGTTGAGGGGGTCGGCCGTGATGTGAGGTCGGCAATGATGATGAAGCCGCTCCGAAATATGGTGACGATGCGAAGATGAGTCGTTCGTCATATATGGCAACAGTCGCTATCCGAGAAGGGAATAGTGAGCCCAGTCGCTAAATCAAGATACTGGGCGCTCTGAAATGAGTATTGATATAGACGTGACGGCTTTGATAAGGTCGTTCATGAGACGATGAAGACGTGGTGATGAGTCGACCGTCATATAGAAGCGACGGTCGTTATCCAGGAAGGGAATAACGAGTCCTGTCGCTAGTTCAAGACTTCGACGTTGGGTGCCGGTATTGAGATGGAGCATCACGTCGTGGCCGAGGGACTGGTTGTGATGTGAGGATGACAGCGATGGTGAATCGATCCTATGATGAAGGACAAAGTGTTGGCACCTGTCTAAAGATGAAGACGATGTTAAGCAGCCGGTCCGGTGATGAAGGACCAGACTTTGGACACCTGTCAAAATTTGAGGACGACAGTGTTGATGAAAAAGGATCAAACTTGGGCGCCCGTCCCAATATGATGAAGGCGGCGATGATGAAGTCGGTCTGATGATGGACTAGGCTTGGGCGCCCGACTGAAGATGGAGGATGGCGCTGATGAAGCATGTCTATTGAGGACGACAACGCTGATGAAGTCGGTTCGTTGATGAAGGACAAGGCTTTGGGCGCCTGTGTGAAGATGAGGACGACGACGACGATGAAGTCAGTCCAATGATGAAGGACTATGCTTAGGCACCTGTCTGAATATGAAGGACGGCGTTGATGAAGCCTGTCCATTGAGGACGATGGCGCTGATGAAGCCTGTCCATTTAGGACGATGACGCTGATGAAGTCGGCCCGTTGATGAAGGACAAGTGACGTGCACTTTGTCGTGGTGTGCACTCAAAGTAATAATACAATACAACACCGATACGTAGTATAGCGAAGTAAGGTTCGTATCCACAGGGAAAGGAATACTTCTCTTTTTATATAACTAGTAACAAGGGGGTTTTAGATTTGATTTGATTTAATTTAATTAACACTAAGATGAATGACTTAAATGAGTTTAATTAATAGAGATGGGGACTTGGTTTTGCTCTTATCCACTTAATGAAATGTTCGACGATCCCGGTTATATCTTTAACTATCTTCCTCTCGAATACTCAATCGAGGAGTATATCCAGTTCATCGAGGGTAGCTATTAAAATAACGAGACACGTTCATTAATAAAACTTACTACCGAGTTAATATAGAACACGCGCCGTATATTAACCCGATAGTAGCAATAAAATCAAGATGAAAACGATTGAGATTGATAACCTCAACATCAAGATGCCGACTTTAAACCGATAAACCGCTTGTGTTGAGGTTATCAATCTCAATCGTTTTCATCTTGATTTTATTGCTACTATCGGGTTAATATACGGCGCGTGTTCTATATTAACTCGATAGTAAGTTTTATTAATGAACGCGTCTCGTTATTAATATGGAAGAGTTTAGCTCCTCATTTGGAGACTAAACATGATGAAAACATAAAGAAAGAACTTGTCTAAACTGAGCCTAGAAGTATATGTGAAATGGTGATTTTATTGTGAAGGAAAGAGGTGTATTTATAGGCTTTTGGGAGCTGCAGGGTCTGATACCCGATCGGGTATATAGGATACCCGATTGGGTATCTTAGAAAATTGTCCAGAAAGTCACTTTTCTGAGCATACCCGATCGGGTGGTGGAGTGCACTATTTTTTTCTTTTTTCTTAGTTATCCCCAGACTGTCGGCACAACTGCATCTTGGTGGAGATTGTATTTATTATTGTATCTATTTTTTTCTCAAATCAACCACCTCGTAATGGTTGATAAATTCAACAAAGAAAGGATGCAACAGGAATCTAGCCCGACCTTGACAGAATCGTAATGCACCACCACCATTCCTGGGTGGTGGCGCAACGGATGTAACCCAACGTGAAGATGAAAATCGGCCAGGTCCAGGACGAGGATTGGGATTTGGGCTCTAATTTTTGGGGAGAGCATTTGTCTCCTTTTCCTGTTAGCTATATTTCAGTTTCAGTTCATGGCGGGGTGTATCATGTGGGGGCAGCCCTCGCAACCGCCATGTCATCGTCGGACTTGGTGTCATCAAAATCGTCATTAGAGTGGTGGTCATCAGCCGCACTCTCTGTAGTGTGTTGTGTCCGATGTACTATCCACGGCGGCATTAGTCGCATCTCCCCGAACCGTCTCATTAATGGTGGGATCCGAAACAGGAGGACTAGAAGAGCTAGAACTCTCAAAAATTTGGCCAAACGAAGAAACGGGGGCAGAAAGAATAGAAAAGGCTCGAAGATTACCTGGACAGACTTGAAATTAGGGTTTTTAGAGAGAAGCTAGAGCAAACGGGCGAAAAAGCAAAGTTCGAAAACCCAGAACCAGAGGTCCAAGAGCCTTAATTATGTTCGAAAGTGCCGATTCACCAACCAACGAAAGAAGAACACACAGTTGGGAGCGTTTCCAGGGACACATGTCAAACAGATATGGAACGTCATGTAATCATGACATTGCCCAGAGAACTCAACCAACAGCCGCCATAATCGTCAAATCCCTGTATCGGTAACATGCAAAACCCAACCATCCAACCTCATACGAGTAATATCGAATGGCGGGAGAACAAAATTTCTACTTCCTTATGTCCTAAGCAGGCTCGGAAAATCAGAAGTGGGGGACTTATGTTGGGATATTAGGGTCAGGCCCAATAACCCGACCCAAAATATCTGATGGATTGTCTACCTGGGGGGTATCTTATCCAAGGGGTTATCGCGGGGATAACTAGAGAGAAGTCAGAGCAAATAAGAGGAGAGAGAGTCGATTGTATTAAATGAACTCAGCATGTTTTACAATGGGGAAAAGGGGTGCTATTTATAGCAGCAATAAATGCGATGAGGGTACACGTGTCAACAATCTGACGGCTGAGGGGTCACCTCAATCGGGTGGCACTGGCATTCGCATGTGCGCCGCATTGAATGCGGTGGGTGGATGTGACGTCGCATTAAATGCGGTGGTTGCTTGTCTCCAAAGGGAATCTTCGATGATTGATCTGTTAGCCAAAGGCTTCCCCTCGCAGCCGAGGGCTCTGTCTAGCCGAAGGCTTCCCCTCGCAGCCGAGGGCTCTGTCTAGCCGAAGGCACCATATGTGCTGAGGGCTCCTGGTAGCCGAGGGCTACCGTTTTACGCCGTTTTCTCCTAGTAGCTTTGTATGCTGGAAATTGGCCGCCCTGTGTAATTTGGAGCCTTCGGACAAGGAGGCCGAAGGCATTTATTCGGGTGTAGCGGGCTCCTTGGGCTTGTGACGTTGTGCTTTGGGCCTCCTGTGCCTCTTGGGCCTGTTGGGCCTTTGCAGGAGGAGGAGGAGTCTGTGGGTAGGGGGTTCCTGGGCCATATACTCCATCAGGAGTCCCCCACTCCTTTTGCCGAAAGGTACTTGATGTGTAGCATATAATGGGCACACAACTATTTTTTTACCCAAGGAAGTAGGGTGTCGAACCACAGAGAAGCGGGAAATAAAATAATTAAGCACAAACTAAGGATTAAAGTTGGGAATGTGTTTCTTTTGATTTTTGGTTGCTTGGAAAAGTAATAAAATAAAAGTGATTGAGATGAGAGATTTTTATCAACACAAAGTTCAACCAATAGCATGTAGGGGTAGAAATTGGTAACTAATTGTTCAATGTTTAATTGAGAGACATAATTGCTAATTTTATTCTTAGATAGATTGTGAGAAGTTGTAGATAAATATTTTAGGACCCAACACAAGTCATCTAAAATAAGTAACTAGTCAACATTTCCCAGTGATGGCCAAAACGAGACTAGTTGTTTAAGTGCAACGACAACCTTAATTATTAACTATATTATTTACCCAACCCCGTGGTGTAAATAATATAATTAAATAATTAAATTCTCCCGTAAAACTTCAATCCGGGACAAGGTAAAAGAAGTTTAACGGTGTGTTCAGAAAGTGTTCATTTGTGTATTTAACAAACAATATGTTTATGATTGAGTACTCATAATATATATCACAAACATAACTTAATTAATTTTCTGGACACAACAATCTAAATAGAACAAACTTAACAATTAAAATCAATACAAATTAAAACATGATAAGAACAATTAATTAACCAATTTCTAGCCCCAAATTTATTTAGCTATACATGTTTGGAAGCATAGAAATAGATGAATTCATGATTGAAGTACAAGATTTAATGAGATAAGGAAGATCAAACTTGTGATAGATGACAATCCTTGGAGCTTGGTGCTAATCTTGACTTAATCTTGAATGAGAAAGTGATTAATTGATGTTGAAGATTGGTTGATGATTTGGAGGTGAAGAATGAAGAGAGGAGGAGGAAATGATTCTGGGAGGTGTAGAGAGAAGTTGTCTCGAGATTATGTGTGTAAGGAGATGGATTAGGCTATATAATGATAAGGTGATTAATCATTAATTTGCTGGAATTTACGAGACCGAAGAGTATATGTACAAGAAAACGCATCCAACTACCAATAACGCGTAGCAGTGCAGCGGACGAAGTGCTTAAGCCATTTTTGAGGTCGCGGGTTCGATTCTGGCTTCGACTTATTTGTTTTCTTTTCTTTGCTGCGCGGAGAACTGGAGTAATATTGTAACTGCCAGCTGACTTTAACAATAATGACAATCGGTTCGCTGGTTGATTCCATCTGCTATCTTTCCTATGACCTGGGTTCGAATCCCAGAGGTCATTTTTTACTTTCCTTCTCTTTTCTCCAATTTTTCTTCTCATTTGCTTTCAAAGGAACTTCTCTTTTATTAACCTTCAACTAGAACTTTTATTTTCTTCTTTTCATCACACTCAAATGTGTCCAAGTACCTGAAAATACAAAATACTCGTGTAGAACTGCACTAATACAAACTAATGACAAATAATCAAAATATGTACAAATATATAACTTAAGTAACCAAAATTATTAACAAACTAAGCCTAAAAAGTGTGTAAAATACAAGCACATCAGTACTTGAGGGAAAAGAAGTAATAGCGTTGATGCGCTGGCTCTGCCGAAGGCTTACACTTTATCTGAGAGCTTTCCTGGTATTTTCCGAGGGCCGCCCTTCAGTCCCTCACATGTCGAGGGTTTTCTGAGGGAAGCATAGATGATAGCCGTATGTGTTGTGATGAGGGCTGCTTCATCATTCCCAATGACTTTGTGAAATTTTTTGATATTCCACTTCTTGCCGAAGGGTGCTCGATGTGTATACCTGAAGGGTTCTCCTTTTATGTCATGTCTCACTTGTAAGTTTTTTCATTTGGGAATTTTTTGTTTTGTGTGATTCCCGAGGGGTGTATCCCAGTCCCCCACTCCTTCAGACCGAAGTCAAGTTCAGGCTTAAGGAGTTATTATGTTTGCGTGTAACCCCGAGGGGTGCCTTTGATTGGTGAGTGGCAGCATTGATAAGCTGGAGGCTTATACTGCTGCTTGCTCGAAGGTATTGTGTAACATATGTATACCGAAGGCCGGAGTGGATGGCAGCCGGAGGCCCCAATTTGATGTACCCTGATGGGCGGCAGCATTGATAAGCCGAAGGCTTATGCTGCTGCTTCGTCGAAGGCGCCTGGTGAAAGTGTTTCGTCGAAGGCTGTAGTAAATGACAGCCGGGGGTGACCGCTCGAGGATGCCACATTGACAAGCCGAAGGCTTATACTGCCGCATGCTCGAGGATGCAACATTAACAAGCCAAAGGCTTATTCTGCTGCATTGTCGAAGGCGCTTGGTGAGAGGTGTTCACCGGAGCCCTTGGTAGGCGAAAGCCGAAGGCTATCATCTGAGGACACCCCGATGTTACTTGGAATATAGCCGTTGTAATGGAGCCGTTGGAGAAGGGGTACACGTGGCGTGTCCTTGTTGGTCGAAGGGGGGCGGGTGCCGCCCGTTGGTCGAAACCACGGCCTGTAATGATGGGCTTTTCAAATCGAGGCCCAGTTCTCGAGGCCCGGTTGCTTATAAATACCCATGAGCGGAGCTCAGTTCCCTTGTGCGATTTTACGTGATAGTGAAGCTCTGCCAATTTTTCTAGAGAGAGAAACCCTTTCCTTCGATCAAAGTCATTCCTTAAGGTCAGTTCTTCATCTGTTCTTTGCCTCCTTAGCATTTTTAGCTTTGTTGTCCTTAGATTAAGTGTTAGAGCCATCTAGGGAGCCTTCGGTTTGAACTTTCAAATAGTGTTTTCTTTTCTACCCTTCATCTCGTATTGGGGAAGAATGTCGTCGCAAAGCGATTCTCAGGATATCTCGAGGGAGCCCTTAGTGAACTCCGAAAGTATTTCTGACGTGGAGTCGTCGAGCGAACAGCCCTCGGTGCAAGGTGATTCTGCCGTGGCCGAAGTGATCCAGAACAACCTTCGGACCGAGCTTGAGGCCGAGGACTTCGAGCAGGTAGTGGAGGATGAGGAGCTTGCCCTCGCTGTTCAAGTGGCGGAGGAGGAGGAGGAGAAGGAGAGGCTGAAAGTTACCGTCGCCGTGCTCCCTCCGGTTGACCATGGAGAACGGTGCTCCCGGCCTATGGAACCCGAACCCCTTAGGGTTGCTCCCAGGAAGAAGAAGAAAGTGAGGGTGGCCCCGAAGAAGAAGCAAGCCGCTGTCGATGCGGGGTAGCCCGTCGGCATTCCCGAAGGCCACTCCTACTTGAATACAGCCGCCTTGGAGGTAAAGACTAAAGCCACCCATGCGGAGTACATGGCGACGCAGTTCTTTGTCGGGCCATCGGCGCAGGTAGTGGAGCCGGGACCTGATGATGTGCTGTTACACCCTCCCGAGGTCTGCTTTGCGGTGCATATCTTGTCCGTGGAGTTGGGCCTCCGGTTTCCACTCCATCCTTTCGTGTTGGAGTATTTGCGTTTCGTCAAGCTTGCTCCCTGCCAGATTACCCCAAACAGTCACTCATACTTGGTAGGCTTCCTGTCGTTGTGTCGGGAAAGGGGAGTGGAGGCCTCGTTAGACCAGTTCCTCCTGTCATTCAACCTCTGCCGGGGCGGGCACGCGAATAGCGAGGGCTTCGCCAATCTTCAACAGGTTCCCGAGTGGAGACTGTTTTCGGAGGTCCCTTCGTCCCACAAAGGGTGGAAAGACAAGTTCTGTTTCATCCGGATGGAAGAGAACCCCTTCCCTGTTCCTCTCCGAGACCACTTCCGGAGGCACCCGAAGGTGGGGAATGCTTTCCTTGCGAAGGAGGGGAAGAAATTAACAGCAAAGCCGGAGGCCTCGGACAAATAGAAGACGATCAAGGATGCTACTCTGCCGGAGGAGCTGCTTCGACTGGGCTTCCGGCGGTTCCGATTGATGGGGGAGGCTGATGAGAAGTACCCCTTAATAGACAGGGTGTATGAATGCGCCGGAGGTGATTACCAAAGGCTCCTAGTTCTGTACTTGGGATATTTTTGTGCTTCTTGATGTGTAACTTATCTTCGTATGTTTTCCTTCTTTCTCAGGTGTAGAGATGGACGCGAAGAACTTCGCAAAGCTCAAGAAGCAATTGGCTAAGGAGCCGAAGAAAAAGAAGGAGGGGGGGGCCTCGCAACAAAGGCCTGTAGATGATTTTTTCCCGAAGGGGAAACTGTGAAGGATCAGGGGGCCGAGGGGCCCTCCAAAGATGTTGCTGAGGGTGCTGGTGCCCTTCAAACTGAGGCGGCAAAGAGAAAGGCGCCGGGAAAAAGCAATGCAGCTCCCGACAAAAGGCCTAAGAAGACCGTCGGCGCTAAGGACGTCCCCCAGGTCATCTCTGAAGGCCACTCTTCTTCGGGAACCCCCCTGGTGGTGGTGACTGCTCCTGCCCCCCTTCCGAATCAGGTGGGGGAGGGTACTTGGCCCCGGGAGAACGTTCGGTTCTCCATCAAAAGAGGAACCGCCGTCATGCACGACACTCTTGACCCGAAGGAGTTTCTGATGGGTGCAACCCCTCCTCTGGATAAGTCGGTGTTGGGCCGCTATGAGGACGACGTCCTCGACTCCGTCACGGTATGCCTCCACGCCTCTATTGCTTTGACAGATCTTCCTTAGTATTTTACTCATGAATGAATTGACCCTTTGTGTTTTACCTATTTATTTGCAGGCTAGCTTGGCCCTCGGGGAGCATATCAGGAGAGCTGAGGAAAGGCGCCTCCGGAAGGCGCAGGATGATGAGGCCTTGAAGAAGCTTGTTGTAACACCCTGGCCCCGCAGGACCCGAGGTAGTTACTTCGGACCAATAGTACTGTCCTCACAAACCATCACGAGCCTTTACCGCGCACTTTGTTCTCACTCATGCGCGCCCTGAGAAACTTCCTAGGGGGTCACCCATCCCAAGACTACTCCCGTGCAAGCACGCTTAACTTTGGAGTTCTTGGGTGATGAGCTCCCTTAAAAGGAGATGCACCTCTGTTGGTATGAGTAGTACTATTAATCCATTTATATCAAATCTCAAGTGTTACACTTGTCGTCTTTAATGCCGAGGCCATGAGGAAGATGGCGGCATTGGAAGAGACCCTCCGGAAGGCAGAGCAGAAGCTAGAAGATGCCCGGACTGAGGCCAGGGCCGAGGGGAGGGCGGAGGGCAAGAAGGAGGCCGAGGAAGCCGTTGCTGCTGCTGCTAAAGATGTCGCTGAGGCTGCCGAGACCGCCAAGGCTGAGGCGGTGGCCAATGCGGGGAAGCAAGCAATCGAGGCCTTTGTTGCCGATGGGTGGAGAGCTGACGACAAGAAGTCATGACTGGCCTCGGTGGTGGAGGCTTCGGTAGATGACTGGGCAGCAGACCCCGGGGCTTTATGGCTTGCCCGAAAGGGTAAGAGCTACTACGAAGGCGGTGAGTATTTCACTCAAGCCAACATCTACCGGAAGCTGGCCCGACACTTTGGTGTGGATCCGAAGGAGTTCAAACCCGAGGTCTATGGTCCTCCTCCCCTTCAGCCTGATGTGAGGATCCCCCTTCCCCCGGGCCAAGAGAGGGAGCTACTTGAAGATTCAGAGCTGGCCAATTGCGATGATGATGATGATGATGATGATGATGATGATGATGATGAAGAGGCCGGGGGCGCCGCCGCCTCGAAGCCGAAGGAAGAAGTAGCAAAGGAAACCTAGGCTTAGGAATTTTTCTAAGCATAATTTTGTAATAGCTTGTAGGGTTTCGGCTTCAGCCAATCATGTAAACAAACATCTTTGTATTTGAATATTTCTATGATGATGTGCCTTCGGGCTTTTTGATATGAATGCCTTCGTTTGTTTCCTTCAACTTTATCCTTTTATATGCCTTCTTTTCGTGCATGAATGTATGTTTCTTTCCTTCCACATGTTTGTCAGAGGGCCAAGAGTTCGTGGACTTAGAAAATTTTCTAAGTGAAACTTGGCAACATGCCCCCGGTTGGTTGTGGACTTAGAAAAACTTCTAAGTGAAACTTGACCAGAAGCCTTCGGCTGTAGAGTAGGACCGCCGGGGGCTTGCAGTTGTGGACTTAGAAATTTTTCTAAGTGGAAACTTGGTAATAAGCCTTCGGTTGTAACGGGCCTTCGGTTGCAGAGTAGGGCCGAGGGTTAAAATGAATTAGACTTAGAAAATTTTCCAAGCATACTTCACCCTAGGCCATCGGCATTGCTGATCCCCCGATTTGTAGTGTAGCCTTAGGCCCCATTCTAGTGGTTTGAGGTCGACTTCGGCTATAAGCCTGTTAGGTGGTGATGAAGCCAATGGCTGCCCCCGAAGGGTCCCCAATTGTGGACTTAGTCAAATTTCCACAAAGTTGCAATAGATGTTGTGGCGAGCCTTCGGAGGTAGGAGTTTACTGAGCTCCCTGCTATAGTGAACTCCTTGATGTGGACTTAGAAACTTTGCTAAGTAAAACTTGATC